CGTTAACTACAAGACTAATACATGGTTTGATTGCAGAGATCAAAAGCAAAGGCAAATCGAAAGAAAGTGATGATATGGACAACACTTTGAAGGAATTGGCCGATTGGGGCATTTAAGGGTATATGTCATACACATCAGTGGCTCTCAATTTGATAGTAATGTTGCTTTAATTCTATGCTATTATAATAATATTATAATTAAATTTATTATGTTTTAAAATTTACATTCAATTATTGATATTTAATACTACAGTCTGTGTACCATATGATAGACAAATGTCCAGTACATTTTGTTTTTCAATTTAAATAAAATTACAATTTGAATTATATTACGGTAAATAATTAATATTTAATAAATGACACAATGAAGTGGGCATTAGATTCAGGGCCACTTCCGGTCATTATTGAATGTGCGAACATTTGTTTGAATAAGACTTGAGTTTTACTTTTATTTAAAGTTCTTCAACTCATTTTGAATGATATTTGTATTGCACGAAACTGTATTACTATATAAGTAGTGAACCATTAGGGCTATTACTGGTATAACTATTATACCAGCGATCATATTTTTGTATATATTACATACATTTTGTATATTTTATAATCAGTCTGTATTTAGTCTTAAGTCTTTAAATCTCAATCATAGTGTAGACTTTGAGATGAATTAATGTGACATTAACTTAATTTTGTGTTAAAGTTGTGTGTTTGGGTTACGAAAACTCACACACTCAACACATTATATTAGTATATTATACAGTACTGTATATTGAGTTGGTTTGTGAATAAAAATAATTGAATTGTTCGTCAAAAGAATTGTGTTCTCACTGACGAGTGCACAACACCCCTCCTCCGTCCTGGCCTACCATAACCTCCCGGTCATAGCTTTCTGAGTGAAACAAAAGGTATGCATTTATTTATAGCATTTTGTTGTCAATCTGTATAATGTTCACAATATCATTATTCTTATGTATTATTGTACTGTTATTGTGCAGTATTGTTAGTCAAAATTGTTAAGCAATTAGTATTTTCTTAAATATTAATTATTATTCATATTTAAAACTCTAAATATAAATTAATATGAATTTTTTTATATGAATTTTAAAAATTTCTAATTAATTTAACTATACATTGTATACAATATAAACAAAAAATCTTTTTTATAGAAAACTTTAAAAGTTACTTGTTGCAAGTTATTTGAAAGAAAATTGTGCAATGCTGTAAATGAAATAAAACCCCAACTGTTCCCTACATTCTATCCTATAATTGATGTAGAAATCAAATGAGAAATTGTATACTGTAGGGTGTGTTCAAATAAACGGGATATCTTTGTACCCATGTATTAGTGAATGAATGTTAAGTTTTATATTAAATAGATTTTATTTAAATTTTAATTATAATTCAAGAAATTGTTACATAGAATTATAATGTTATATATATACTTTTATAATATAATACTTAAAGTAATATTTAATTAAATAATAATAATACCACAAAATGGTTATTAAGAAACAAATGATTTTAAAATTCAATAATTAATTAATAATTAAATAGTTTATTATATATATACTTTTATAATATAATACTTAAAGTAATATTTAATTAAATAATAATAATACCACAAAATGGTTATTAAGAAACAAATGATTTTAAAATTCAATAATTAATTAATAATTAAATAGTTTATTTACAAAATGTTTTCCCTTCGAATGAATTGTGTAAATATAATATAATATAATATATGAATAAAATTGAAATAACGCATTAATAATATTAATAATAATACTGTAATAATATATAATATACTGTATAATATGAACACAATTGAATGAAAAGTGTACTAGTACATGTTAGCTGCAATTTTATACAAAACTTGACGATATATACAAAGCAATAGCAGGTATAGAAGACATCACAAGAATACTGGTGGAGCTGTAGAGCTGTAGAGCTGTTGTGTTTGTAGAGAAAACATGTCTTTTAGTGACTTTATTCCAACATTTCCTCAATTCACTCATTAGTTGCAGAGAATGTGAATGTGATCTGAGATTCCATGAAATTTGTGTTCAGTTTGAGTGTTCATTGAATTGAGTTGTCATTGAGTTAGTACTCAGTAATCAAAATAATGACTTTATGTGAAACAATACAATGATTGCAATTATGGCAGTAATCAGCAATCGATACGTTATGAACAGTGCATCGCTGAAGAGTGTTCACTTCTGAGTTGAGTTGTGCGGCCTTTCAATGAGGTATTCATCAAATGAAACAATTCATCATTCATTGTATGGTATTGTGATTAGTGGTTATACTGTAGTCGTTATACGGCATCAATCATTACAAATGTATATATTATATATGAATCGTATTAATAGTTTGGCATCAGATTAGTAAGCTTTGAAAGAATCAATGTTGGTGTCCAACACCATAACACCCTAACCCCTAACACTTGCGACTGCAGCCACACTTGCGGACCATTTCAATCTCTTTAGTGAACTTTGACCCATCACTGCATGCCATCCGCACCGACCGGCGCTTACTCTTCAACGGCTTACAGCAGTTGTCACCACAACTGCCCACACATTCTGAAAGCTTTAACTTTTTGGTTGACCGACAACTGTCTTCGTAATAGAAGTCGCGTTTCATTTCCTTCTGACAGGTGGGGGCTGTGGACAGACAGATAAGAGTGAGTGTACTATACTATATTACAATATACCGGTACATGTATGTACAGTATGTGATGTACAAACCCTGATCACAAAAAGGTCCACTCCATCCACTGTTGCACTTGCATTCATATGTCTGCAGATCACTAGTTGGCACACATTTGCCGTTTTGGCACAAATGATTAAGACATGGCTTATTGATGTCATCGAACTCCACACAACCCGGTTGTACCAAATGCTGGCGCCGGGCGCTGTTCAGGTCAGGCGGGTTGCCGTTGATGTAGATCTCACGCATACACCCTATAATAGAGTACAATAAAGTGACAATGAGATGGTTGACTGGTTAGCGGACTGATAGGACCTACCCTCTAGGCTGGACGAGTTCCAAATGTGCCAATTCTTGATGGCATTTTGGGCCACTTTGTCGGGCATTCCTCCGATGAAAAGGGATGACTTGGACTCCAAGTAGTCTTTGGAGCCCTCGTTGACAATAGTGCGGTGCTGTCCGCCGTCTACTCTCATCGTGAAGTTCTTCTTGAAGAGTACGAACTCGAGTTCATGATAGCGGCCATCGCTGACAGTCTCGTAGGAGAACATCGTGGAGACGGGATAATTGCCGACATCCAGACTGATTCGGATGCGACCCCTGAACAGCTCGACTGCCAAGTGCTGGCCATCGCCCCAATACAGCACAACTCCCGACTCCTTTTTGGTGACAAACTTAAGGGTCAGATTGACGTCAGGTATTGTCTTCAATGGTTCCAATTCAAGGTACGAGCCCTCCCGGAAGGAAATGGAGGCCAACATTTCACAACGTTTGCCGGTATAGCCCGGACTGCATTTGCAGATGTAGTCTGAGGAACCTATAGGCCGTCCATTCAATATCCAATTAGACATTTATTATATGATTATAACATCCAATGTATACCTGACGGCATGAAACAGGCGCCGTGTTTGCAGTCGTGTTGTTGACAGGGACTGGTCTGAGGGTAGAGCTCTACCATTGGGGCCAACTCACAGAACTTGCCGGCGAAGCCCAGCGGACACTCACACCGGTAGCTGTTGAGCCCATCGACACAAGTGGCGCCGTTTTGGCACAGATTGTCCGCACAGTCGTCGTCATTGTCCGTACAGTTGTGTCCACTGAATCCTTTGCCACAAATGCATTGATAGTGTGTCCGATGATCCACACATTGAGCACCATTTTTACACGGGTTGTACTCTTTATGGCAAAACTGGATCTTTGTTTCGCAATACTCTCCGCCAAAACCGGCCAAACAGTGACACCGATAGGACTCGATTTGGTCGATACACGTGCCGTTGTTCTCGCATTTATTGGCCAAACAATCGTTTATATTGGTCTCACATCTGTCGCCATCAAAGCCTGTGATAAAACAATTGTTACTAATAAATACCAATTATATAACTATTCAAATATTGAATGGCCAATGGGTACGCACCGGGAGGACAATGACAACTAAATCTGCCGGCTTCCATCACTTTACAGGTGCCCTCATTATCACATGGATTACCGAAACAGGCGTCGATCTTATACTCGCAGTGCAACCCATGATATCCTGGAGCGCAATTGCACTGGTAGTCGCGTAATGGCATTGATTTGCATGTGGCACCGTTAGCACACGGGAATGAGTAGCAGGAGTCACATTTAGCCAGCACTTGGGGATCAGGATCTTCAGTGCAAATAAAGTGGTTGGGCGGCGCAGACATTATTAGTTTATCTCTCATAGATCGTGGTTCATGACATCTGGCGATACCTCCTGTTCGTGGTATGAGATGAAAGTACTGGTTATTAGATGAGGGATAAGTGAAGGACTAGAAGTATTAGACAAACCCTCGACAAAGTCTTTTTGGATCCACTGCGCCAGCCATCGGAGGTTGCAGTCACAGTAGAGTGGGTTCGCACCCATAGCTATGTGTGATATGGACACGAGGTCTATGAAGGAGCCCTCGGGAATCATTGAGATGTCATTGCCGTGAAGGGAGAGAACCCGTAGTTTGCGAAGCCCTCGGAAAGCATGCGATTGAATGCATTGCAGCTTATTATAGGATAGAATGAGAGTTTGAAGTTCCGATAGATTGGCGAATATGTTGTCCTCGAGTAGAGCGATCTGGTTGTTGCTGAGGTCAAGTCGGGTCAGGTCTCGCAGTTGATTTACTTCCCGAGGAATGGTCGCGATGTCGTTCACATCCAGGTATAGCTCGGTGGTGATGGGCTGCACATACCGGGGAACTGCTCTGAGTTTTTGTCGCGAACACCGGACCACAGTTCCAGTGCATATGCATCGGGTCGGGCACTGGGAGTCGGGTCCGCAGTCGCTATAATCGCGCTCAATATCATCGCATTTGAAGTCCTTTTGCTCGATATCTTCGATGGGAATGTCCTTCAAGTCAACCGGTGACTGACATCTCGGGTTACCTTCGGATCAGTTCATTGAGTAAATTGGTTCAAAAGATTATTCTGTGTCTGTGGACAATACCTGTCACTATATTGTGGTTCTTGAGCCAATTGGACAGCCATCGCATATGGCAGTTGCAGTTGAGTGGGTTTGACAGCAGGTTTAGTGTAGATAATGCCTTCATTTTGTCGAAGGCACCGGGCATTATGCACCGGATCTTATTATCATACAGTGAACTGTACGGTATGACCATAAATATGATTAAAGCAATTACTAATTGAGAAACCAATGATAGCAGCAATGCATGCATAAGTCAATTAGGATAATGTATGTTAGCTATGCCTTCACTGTCTCCAAGTTAATGTCTCTTTTATCAATACCCCTTTTGTGCCATTCATTATCATTAGAGATGAGTACAAATCACTTTCGTGACTAAAGTGATCATATATTCAAACCCATACTCAAACCCTATCGTGCAATCAATATCTTAAAGCCGTATAAAACAAAATGATTGTTTAATGAAATATAGTAAACAAAATGTGATTAAATAGAAAAATAGGAATAATATAAAGAAAATCAATTAAATAAGACTTACAGTAGTCTTAATGAATCCAAATCACTAAAGGAGTCATTTGTAATACAAGTGATTTGATTGGTTCGTAGCATTCTGTAGGGTATAAAACAATGTTAGAAACAATTCAATTCAATACAAATCAAGTCACCCAACAATTCACTAATAAACCAATTTTGACACAAAATTAATAGTGAATTCATTGAATTGAAACTTTATCTTATAATTAATTATTTGAAATCTACTAACAAATAACACACAATTTATTGACAACAAATAATAAATTACATCCACATCTATTTTGACAAACAATTTAATTAATTGTTAATCAAATTCAATCAAATATATGAAATGCTTTTCAAATGCATTCGAGGGCTACTCTACATTCTCTCTCTCTCTCACACTCACTCTATCTCACACACACACACACACACACACTCATTCACTCACTCAGAGAATGTTATCATTCTTAGCAATCATTTATACTTTGTATCTTAAAGTGTCTGCAAATGACATTATTATCGATTGAAAGATCAGTCCGTAAAACAGAAATATGTGTAACTCTTAACTCTTTATGTGAGTTATATTTAAGTGCTAATAGTTTGGCATTTCGTGTCATATAGTGGTCATAATGAGGATCACTGATTGGCAATACTTTGTGTGTTTATTTGCTTATATTTTGTGCACACATATAATTTAAGGGAATGTGATTTAGTGGACAAATATGCTGAAAATGTGATGGCCTTATGAAAGGTTTGACTGAAATGTGAAGGAATTCTCTAAAGATTATTGTCTATAGGGATAGAGAAGTAGTCCTGTACTGCAGTAGCATTTTGTTTATCGTGTTTTCAAAATTGAAACCTTGTTACTATTTGAATCAATGGTTTATTAAGATATGGATGGTAGGGCATACTATGTTCACTTGTACACAATACTGTAAACCGTATAACTTATAAGTTTGGTTACTTACAGATTAGTCATATTCTTTAGTCCGGCAAACATTTTAGGCCTGATTTGTCTTAATTTATTTTCAGTGATGAGTAAGTCATTCAACATATAGGCGCCCCAAAAGGCTCCATCTTCAATATCTGCGATCTCGTTGTTCCTTAAATCTCTACAAAAGCCACAAAACAATATATTATATTATATTTGATGTCTTATTTGTCGGTCTAAGAACTTATGTCAATAGTAGCTGTACTGCTGTACTGTACAAATAGCTTGTTCTGACAGAGTATAGCAAATCATACGAAAGTACAGTATGATGGGAAGGGAGGCATATATATGATAGAGTACTGTT